TGCAAATAAAAAGTCAAGTCGTACAAAAGAAGTTTCAAATAATTACAAAAAATAATTTTATACAGAACAGTTTATCGAATGATAGGTAAATTATTATGGTATATTTTATTCTAATTTTTTTCTTACTAAAAGTAAATTTTCTATGATCGATTATCATATTATTACTCATAAATTAATATTTTATGATTTTAGCTGTATGTGATACGAATTTTTATGGCGGCAAATATTGAATACTACGCTACTCATTGTTATTTACTATAAATGTTTTGAACAATATATTGTTTATCATTATAATTATAATGAATACAGATATTATCATACGATTAAAAATGAAATCTGTATTTATTAATAATTCAGTTCACAAGTGTGTATACTTGCAAAATGAAGTTTTTGATTCATTTGATTGATAAACGTAGTATAAAGTTTGCGATCGTCATTTATTTAAAAATATCGATTTGTTTGTAATGACGCTTGGTTGTTGAAATTGTTTATTGGCAATCTAAAAAAAAGTAAGTAGATATTAATATTTTTATTCAGTGTTATCTTGATAGTGATTGGTATTTATTTAATAATAACATATTATTTATTAAAGATTATGGGTGGATGTAGCTTCCCGAATTGTCACAACAGCAGCGAGAAAGGTTTCAAAGTTATGCGGTTTCCTAGGTGCATTGATATCAGGAACAAGTGGGTAACAGCTTGCAAAATTTTGAAACCCATTAATGAAAATTCTCGGCTGTGTGAGGTATATTATTTTAATAATATAATCTGTCCATTTAATTACATGAAATCTTTTTAGGTAACTTTTTCGTAGAACTGGTAAATTATAATCTGTTTTATTTAATTTTTGACAGGGTCATTTTAGTAAAGAATTATTTTATCACGAAAATAATTTTTATAAATTAAGAAAAAACGTCATCCCTGATATTTTGACACCGTCGCCTCATAAACCTTTTGATGCTGATATTAATAATGATAATGATGATGACGATGATGACTACTCAATCAGCAGTAAGAGACGTCGGTCTGGAGTATCAGAACTAACTGAACGTAAGTTTGAATTAATTTTTTAATTTATTACATTTTGTTAAATGATATACAATAAAAATAATTAAAATAAAATTTATTATTTCATGCAAGTCAGTATTTCGACAATAAAGTTTTATAATAATTTCAAATGGTTAAATAAAAATATGGAGTGTAAAATTTATGTTTGGGTAAGTGAAATGTCTGAAGGACAATTATTAACTCCTGTATTATTTTGTGTGTTCCTTTTCGTTTTTTATAGCATGAAAACTCTAATTGTGATCTCATAATTGATTTAATAAATTAAATCTAACAACTATGTTCGCTCAATAACTTATGGTGACTTGGGGCTTTCAGAAAAATTGTACTATTGTTGTTATACTATCATATCCACTTAATATTTATTTAGTTATAACTTAAATGCTATAGCATTAATTTCATTCTGTCGAGTGTTCATTTTCATTTTAACATAATATTTTATTTCTTATTAATTCTACTTATGTATATTTTGGATAATGTAGGATTGGAAATTTCACCAAATGAGAATATTCAAGACTGCGAAGAAGTTTTTCCTGGAACCTCATACCATTCTAACCAGCCAAGTGATAATTTTGAAAAGTCACCGCGAGAATTACTCTTGGAGCAACAAATCAACGAGCTTCTCAAGGAGAATACAGCATTAAAAAAAAAGGTAATATAAAATCTAAGTATTATTTAATCTAAAATCTAAGTATATTTTTTATTTTGTGTGTGATTAAATGTTATCAGAAGCAATCTAATACAATTATGTTTTTATGAACCAAAATTTTTAGTAATAATTAATAACTAATCAATATTTCTTTCAGGTTTCTCACATGGCTGAAAAATCAACTACGCTAGATACTAACTTAAAAAAGTTTTTGAATCCAGATCAGCTGTTATTTTTAAAAAGTAATGCTTCTACGAATTCTAAACCTTGGTCAGAGGAAACCATCAAAAAAGGTTTAAGAATTCGATTACTGATGGGTACTAAAGCTTATAAAAGCTTAAGGGATATCGAAGGATTTCCTTTGCCTGCGTTTTCTACACTTTACAGTAGACTATCAGGTTTCAACTTTGCTCCTGGAACTTTCCATAGCATTATTGAATGGCTAGGGATGAAGATTCGACAGCAACAAGATGAAACTGCTCATTATTGTGTGCTGGCCTTGGATGAAATGTCTATCCATCCAGCTGTTGAGTATGATCGGGGCCTCGGTAATTTCATTGGATTAGTAACTCCGGAGTTAGCGAGAGACTCAAATGAGGCTGATACAATGGCTTCTCACGCGATTGCATTTGTAGCTCGTGGCTTAACTAGTCATTGGAAACAATTAGTTGGCTATGCGTTGACTGGAAAATCAGTGACCTCTAAATGTCTCTGGAATTACGTGCAAGAAATCATAAGAGAGCTGTATCAACAGGACATTATTGTCAAATGCATCTCAACGGATGAAGGACCTACTAATGTTGGTATGTGGACTCTGAACAGCATTACCTCTAGCCGTTATTTGATTAATTCTTCTAGTCAGCATCCATCAAACCCTGATGAACTTCTTCATTGGACTTCTGATGTTCCGCACGTCCTGAAACGCATTTGGTCTCAATTGTTGAAGACGAAGTTCATTCTTAGCGGGCCTATTGTCCAAGCAAACAATTTACCATCGTCTGAAGTTGATATTGCGCATGTTCGGCAACTAGTAGAATCGCAATCACTCGGTGGGCCTGTGTTAGTTACTGGTGTTACTGCTGCAATTCTAGATCCATCGCAATTTGATAAAATGCATGTTGGACTGGCTAAAAAAATTTTGAGTGAAGAAATGGGACGTGCATTGATGTTTTCTGCTCAGACTGGTTATCTTCCGCAAGAAGCTATGACAACCAGTTGGTTTATTTTATTATGCAGCCAGTGGTATGATTTGATGGTTTGTCGCCATAAAAGTCATTCTCTTGGAAGTGATGAATCTTCTTTAGAACGTGTTGAGTTTCTTCAAAGCTTCATTGAGAGTATCAAAGATCTACAATTTACAACCAATAACAAATGGAAACCTATTCAACGAGGGATAATTCTTGTTACAACGACAGCGTTAAATTTACGTAAAGATCTGGTTTTATCAGGAAAATTTCAGTATCTTCTTACGGGATGTCTAACTTCAAGTTCTGTGGAAAACTTATTTTCTCAGATCCGAGCTGGTGGTGATATTCACCCAAAACCTCGTCAACTGCGGTACCGAATGCGCTTAGTCGCTGTTGCTCAGTATTTACGAGTTCCGTCATCTGCATCTTATGAAGACGATGATGAGCCTTATTATTTGGAATTTTTAAAACAGAAAAAGGATGAACTTCGTACTACTGATGATGAAAAAACACTCGATGCAATTGAAATGCCAAATAGTTGTGTACTGTCAGCAATCCAGGAGTACGGACTTTATTACCTTTCTGGATGGGCGGTATTTGTATCAGCCAACGGTTGCGAGGCTTGTGAAACAGCAACTATTTCTTTAGAACCATTGTCCAATGCGTGCTCGGCTTG